AAGTTGTTAGTCGAGGAGTCTCACTAGCCATTCTGTCATATATTAAAACAAGATAGCTCACAAATTGAGTTCAATAAGCTATCAAGTCAAGTTGTCTTGCGAGCCTTACTAGCTGAACAAAGCATAACTTGACCTCAACTCATTAATAAACAAGCTGAATACCAAAGGAGGGTTTTTACTGGGAGCAGAACGTCGAGCTGAACATATTGCCTTATTTGCAGTTCTAGAGATGGTCTAGTAGGGCACTCCACTCTTGTTTCCAATGATAAACTCAGAATCTCCAGAACAGAAGAAGCCTGCCAAAGGAATGCTGAAAATAGGAAGAGGGTGGCTTTGGGCTTTATATAACAATCTTTTAGGTGCATTTTATGGGGTCATTTAGGGCCCAATGGGCTGAATTATCGATAGTCCATCATCCTTCATTCAAATTTATCGGTTACGGGTCACCTAGAAAAAGTTAAAAAAATTGTCCTTCCCTATCGCCTGCATCTGCATGTGTCTGCTGGATATTCTTTCTTCCACAAATTTTTTTCTAACATATTTTTGGAAGTCTTGTCCAAAGTCCAAACTTCCTCTTCTTACGAGCAAGACCATTTTCAGAAAAGTTATATCTAAATTGGCTTTAGCCATTGCTGGCCTGGGAGAAAATAGACAGTAACGTCTTGCTAAACTAGATGTTGAATAAGGTAATGTAATTTGGTAATCGTTAAGCACCCCATAGTGGATAGGTTTGATCATGAACCCATCCTACACTTGAAGGTCGGAGAGGGGATCCAAAGGGTTTTTGGTGAGCTTTCATGGGTATCTTTAATTAATTACACGTCCATATTTGGATTTAAGTTTGTTAGTTGGAACTCATGAACCCTAATTATAATAAACCAAAATTTGGATACCTTTACTTGGGGACGTTTTTACCCTCATATCTGAATCTTTTCCTGTGCTTATAGGCAAACTTTCTGGTTGTCTCTGCACCCCTACCTCTTTTATTACTAAGCGATCATTTTCGGGGAGAACCAGTTAGCTCTGGGTTCGAGTGGCATTTCACCCCAAACCACAACTCATCCGCTGATTCTTGCCGAGCTCATGGCTCTTCACGATTCTCTACGTTGGTGTCTTGCTCACTCTCTAACTAATGTTTGTGGGTGAAGCTATCCTTGTTCCAAGCCTTGTTCCTTCATACAATGTTCCACTTCGCTTCCCGTAAGTATAATAGGGTTGTCCATATCATAGCAAAACAAGCCTTTAAAACGATGATGGAGACACTTGTCTACCATCCTTATTTTTGTTCTAGTCCTGCCCTTATAAGCATTGTATATCTTTATATCTATGCTACTTCCCAACAGGATAACTATGAGGAAAAATGGAAGAAGACTGTAGGGGTTCGTGGATGAAGAGTCTAATATTGTTCACTTGTACGGAGAATGTAAGTGCACAAGTGAACCAAGTTAGTTTCATCAACATAGCCTTACCATAGAACAAGTAAGCCAATTTCAAATCATAATTAATAAAAGCCAATCCTACAAACTGGGTGAGCAGTGGATTATGTTGGCTAGCTAGAATTTCGATTTTCATTATATTCTCTCTTCAGTTTATGTTGATGTATTGTTCATGCAACTCAATAAAAGATTACTACGTAATTTTTTTACAAGATTACTACGTATATTATATACGATCTAAGTACTAATTATTTAGCCTCCTATAGTACCTTGTGTTTTAATAACTTTTGATATTGCAGGTCATGAGCACTCCAACAAAAAATTCCTCTTAATTGACATAGGAGGTGTGATGCCAAGTTGAAAACTAACTACTCTAAGAACTCGAATGATTGGTAAATTTTTTAAATTAAATGTTACTAAGTCGAAATCCCTTACAACAAAGGTGTTACAAGATTAGTGGATCCCTTCGTTTTTATGGGGTCTCGTGTACTTCCGTACCCAAATTTCTCATTTTGTAGATGAACTATCTAGACTACTCTCTCTCCTTTCCAACTCTAATATATTCTAAACGACAAAAGAGAGGGATAGCTAAAAAAAGGCGCATGCATATGAAAGCCACAAGTTAATTTCATCAATGTAACCAATAATCATCATGTGTAGAACGAACAAAGTGAGCCAATTTCAAACCCTAATTAATAAAAGCCAACCCTACAAACTATACTTATATCAAACAATAGGCAAGGTAAATGAGGAAAAAGGGAGGGAGTCGAGAGCTCTGATGGAAGCCTCATGATTTTTGTACTTGTTGTTGCTTACTTGTTTCCCTTTCCTTGCCCTATTAGCTACACTCAAAGGGGTTTTCTAGGTTTTGAAGAAAGTCCCCAATTCCTAAATGAGAGACATTAACAAAGAGCAAGTACTTTGATCATTCCCTTTATCTTAAAGCTTCCTTTATTTCTCTACTTCCAAGTTTGGTCTTAAGATGAAAGGATTACCTTTTCTCATGCCATGCCCAAATTTGATGATCTACCGTTGCAATGCCTCACATAGTGGACAAAATGATCAAACCGCATGTGGAAATGGAAAGACCCTCCTAAAGGATATCGTACATACACGATGCATAAGATTTATTTTCGCAAATGGGTTTGTGGCTAGGAACTGATTGGTGATGAGCTCCTTGGTGTGGTGGTGGGGACTTCGAAGATTAGGGGTTAGAGATGAGAGTGGACGGAAGGGAGAATGGATGTGATGAATTTCAGGGAGATGGAACGACTCGATGGCTAGATAGGTTCCGAAGTTGGGCGAGAACGAGGGAAGGAAGCAGCTGCGACAGGTGAGGAGACGGCGAGGGAAGCAATTTCGAATCCGATTGGACGGGGGGCAGTGGATGAAGGATATGCGGCAGGTGCCGACAAGGGAGATCGGCGGTGGGTCGATGGGGGAATTGGCGGTGGTGAAGGATTTTTCTTTAGGGTAAATTGCAGAGGAAGGCCATTGTGATGAAAATGTATAGGTGGAGGGTTGAAGTTGAGCAAGGAGAGAGTAGGGTAGGCGGCCGCGGGGTGGGAGGATTGCGGTGGTGGCGGATTGGGTCAGGTAAGAGGAAGAGGCGGAGCAAGCTTGGGTGGGGATTGGGTAGATGAGATTAGGAATTTTTATTTTTTGCATTTTTTAATTGTTATTTAATTATTTAAAAATAACACGTCAGATGCCAAATAAGCGCTTACTAGACTTTCTGTTAAAAACTAACGGTCAACGCTAGTCAACTCTAATGGAAAAATAGTTTAGGATACAAATTTCATATCGAATACTTTAGGACACAAATGACACAAAGTTAAAGTTCGGGTTTCCCAGTGGTATTAGCCCTTATTTTTACTATTTTACAATATTTATGTAAATCACCCGTTGATATCTTTATTTTGAGCTCACTTGTATCAATAATATGATATAAATATATTATATAAGTTAGATCGTCCTAAATAGCTAATTCCAGTTTTATTTATTACGCTAACAAAGCATGTACGGTTATATGTATAATTTCCAATTTTCCAAAAATAACTTCTAATTTGAAATTTTAATAGTATGTTATAAAAACTTACATAGAGTATGGTTGTCGTTCTTTGACCAATCCCAATTTATTATGGGTCAAATTAGATAGGGGTAATATCACTTTTAGCGCATATTTGATCCAATTTTTTAGTTTGAGTCTAAATTAGATCCATAGTATTGGTTTTCAAAAGAAATTAACATGTGATTCTAATGTGATTTTTGTCTTTTCTTTGTTCCGAAACAAATAGAAATGTGAAAATACCAACATTAAAGGTGTAAATTGAGTTGAATCCAAATCCGAACCAAACCTAAAATCATTAAAAATGCATATGTATTCATTTGAGTTCAATCCAATACCAATATAGGTCAAATTACCCAATAAATTGACTTGTCGTCGTTTCTATTCTTTTTCTTGATGAGGTTATTTTGGGTTTGGGTTTTGGCCTTTTGGGATTAATAAGTCTAGGTGTTTGTTTATGTCACGTAGCTTTTGCATGGGCCACTTAGTATATTATGTTAGTGACCGAGTTAGAGTATATGTTAGGTTGCCGAGTAGGGCTAGGTTAATTAGTAGTATTCAGGTAGGAATAGTTTACGTATTAGGTTTTTCTAGCCTATAAATATATAAGTTTGGCACTAATTTCATATTCAATTAATAAATCAAAGGTTTATAGACAACGTCTTTCTCTTACCTGTGAATTACAAGCAAAATCCTTGAACTGTGGGTAACAATTGATCATTTATCTTCTCCCAGATTTCCTCTTTGCATTCTTCTGTGATTAAGTTCTATGGTCTCCAATGCTTGTTTGTATTATACTATTTACTACTCTTCTCATTGAGTTCACATATATCCCCCCATCTACTCATCCCAAACCTTCCTTTCGTATCAAATTTCATAACATAAAATATTAATATATTTGTATGGCCTTAACTTTGCACAAAATAAACATCCCGACCAATCTTTTTGATCTATAACATCATGGCCCAAACTATACATCAAAGTAAAGAAATTGGCCAAACTTGATGTTTGACCGTTATCTTGGACGGTCAAACGCGTTGACTAACGGTCAACGTGTCATGTCACTGCCAAGTCAACAACTTTCACTTAATTTTTTTTAATATTTTCCACCTATTAGCATTTTTATTTTTCATTTTGAACCAAAAGAAGAAGAAAATTTAATTTCATTTTGAACTAAGAAAAAGAAAAATGGTAATAGGTGGAAAATATAAAAAAAATCTAAGTAAAGTTATTGATTTGGCAGTGACGTGGCGTGTTGACCATTAGTCAACGCGTTTGACCATCCAAGATAATGGTCAAACATCAGGTTTGGCCAATTTCGTTACTTTGATGTATAGTTTGGGCCAGTATGTTATAGATCGAAAAGATTGGCTAGAATATTTATTATGTGCAAAGTTCAGGTCATACAAATGTATTAACCTTAACATAAAATACGATTCTGAAATATTAGAACAAGGTATTTGCAAAGACAAGTTACTGTACGCCTAGACACGAAATTTCTGTTCATTTAGACTCAAAATTACTGTTCACCCTCCTCCCATTGGTGCGTCCTCTGCGATTGGGACCAGCCGCCTTTGCTGATTGGTTGGCTTCCTGCGTCTGGGTCCTGCCGTTGTTGCTGTGTGTGCCGCGTTGCCCTCAGCTGCACGCTCATTTTCCCTTCGCTCTCTCTTTCCTGCTTTTCTTTCTCTGCTTTTCTCAACTATTCCCTCTGAAACCTTCTGCTAATTATTACACCTGTCAATCTGTACGTTTCGCTTTGCTTTTTTCTCTTATCTTGCCATGGATACTGCTGCACTATTCTTCGGGTCCCGAGGGGTTTCTCAAATATTGTGATCCTTCATAGAGAAGTTAAGGGTTTTCCCCGCCACACAAACAATAAGTAGAGAGGAGAGAGAGTCAGAGGTAAATTAGAAATCCCTTTCTTTCCATCTTAGTTACTCTCTCCTTTCTTTCTCCTCTCTCTCTTCAATCTCTCAAAAATGGCTGCCTCCACCATCGCCACCTCCTCTATTGCCTCCTTTACCTCCACGGCTGCCGTCGCCACCGTCCCCTTCATCGCCACCTCCGCCTTCGCCATCCCCACCACCTCAAATATCGCCGTTGCCACCTCCTCCATCTCCGCTTCCACCGCCTTCATCGCCTTCACTATCTGATCTCGTCACGGGAGCCGGCGGCGCCGAGATCCTCTCCGACGGATCCGGTGGTAGTCGACTGATCCCTCTCGCTCCTCTTCCCACTTGTACGCGAAACGATACTGTTGGGAGAAGAAACCCCCATTTCCTCCTCGCAATCGGCCGTTGCGACGGCCGGTAGCCGGTTCACGTCGAACCCCCGGAAGAACGAGGAGAAATTTCACGTTGTTTTAGGTGGTGGTGGTCTTCTCGGCATCTCCTTATTTTTTCCCATTCCAGTAAATTTGTTCCAGTTGATGCAATTGCCTTTCCCCTTTCTCTCTCTCACACTCACTTTTTCCCCTATCTTTCTCTCTCACTTTTCTATCGGCGATGGTTTCTCACATCCAGTTTAGGAGATGGCGATCTCGAAACGATCAGGTTGTAGATTTGAGAGGACGAGAAAGAGGATTTAAAGAATGCCCTGGTGCACAGGTTATAATCTTGGTTTTGTTATCTTTCTGTCGTTCATGATTTTGTTCTGTTTTTCATGGGTTTATTGTGATTACTTTTCAGATGGGATTTTGCAAGATGAAGTAAACGGTTGGGCGTTGATTGATCTGCTGTTCTTAAGGATGGTGTGGGTAACACCAGGGGTTTGGAGTTCCAAAAAGAGTCGCTGGAATTTTGGGCGAGGTTTGCTTCTTAATCCCCTGTTATATTCTTTGCGGTTCTGTTGTTGGCGAAGCCTTCCCTTACATGGCAGATTATGTTTTTGCCTTTTGCAGATGATCATCTGATAGATTATCTTTGTCCCTACTGGGCTGCTTTGGTCTGGTATTGTTTGGTGGGTTGCGGGATTTGACATTGGAGATTGTTTGATGGTTTATGTATATGTGAAAGGTGGTTCTGCGCCCTCAACAAAGGGGTTGACGAGGCAAGGAGCATCAGGTTATAATCTTCATCTCTGGTTCTTTCTCTGTACTGTATTTCGATGGACTAATACTCTCTTTCTTTCTCATAAGGGTCGTTTGATCTCTTTTCAGATTTTATTCAAATACTACAGACTCTTCGAGGAAGGGAAGTACCCGAGCTCTGCATCAGATTTTATTCGTTTTAGCTGCGAGACTACCTTTGGTAAGTCATTCTTTGGATGCTGTTGATTTGTTCAATTCAAGTGCTTCTATGAGTTGGAGGTAATTTCATTTTCCTTTGATGGATCAGAGTTCATTGATTTGCCTTCTTCTCTTCCATCCGCTTCTTGAGTGGAACTCTAGGTTACCAATGGGATTTGAGGAGTGCATAGAGGAGACTCGGAGAATAGGCAGACTTGTATGTTTTACAATTGTTTTGTTCTGTATGTTTTCTGAGATGTGTTTGTTGGCTCTTCCTTGCTCTTTGGTTTTGATTGATAAACTCTTAGGAGTAGATGCAGGTGTCGAGTTTACTTTCATTGAGGCGGATTGGAGGTCGAAGTTAAGCAGAAAGGTAGCAATAGCAGGGGACCGGCTGGTTAGTATGCACGAACTACTGCTGGGGTTGTCAATGGATTTGAGGTGCACAGAGGGTTCGGAGGAACCCAAATCTGCAGATCTATGTTTAAGGTTTAAGGTAATTGTTCTCTGTGTTGACTAGATGCGTCGCTCGCCATCTGCCTGTGCTTTCCACGCACAAGTGAGGCGTGGGAGATTCAGAAACCTCCAACAACCACCAAAAAGTATAACTTCTCAAAGCACCTTCCACTGTTCATCTAGACTGCTTTTACTATTTGTTTAGACTCAATTTTACTATTCACCGGTTTGTGATTGGCTGTTGCTCTGGTTGTTCAGTGGTTTCTGACATGGAAGCTCGGTTCCCTTCAAGTTATTGATGGGATATTTGGTTGCCATCTTTTAGTTTTGTTTTTTTTTTTTTTTTTTTGATTTGGTGAAGGTGATCTTTGCGTTGGTCGCAGGGTATCTTTGAGTTTCTTTGTAACTGGATTTTGCCTTTTGTCTAAACTGTAGAGATCATGAGAGGAAGGGAGGTTGTTGATGGAGACAAGTCTTTGCTTTATTCCTTTCACGGCAGAGAACAGGAGAGAAGGAAGGTTTGTTGATTGAGACACGTAATTGCCTTATTCCTCACACTGCATAGGGGACTAGGGGTTGGCAGAGGAACGAAGGGTTGCTTATGGAGACTAGACACTAGATATATATATTTTTTGTTTTTCAATTTTTTGCCTTCTCGGTTTTTGAGGGGCTCTTGGGAGACTGTGCATCCTCACTCCTCAGATAGAGGCTGAAGGGAGAAAGGAATGGACGATACTGAGAAGGACAATGGTAGGTTAAAAGCCACGCAGTTCTTATATTTTCGGCCATTCATTTAACCTACTCGCATTGCTCCTGTGCTCTTTCAGTCGATTTTCTTTTTTGGGATGGATAGAGAGAGGCAGAGGAACCATCTTGCTATCCCTGGGACTTTGTCCACGAGTCACATCTGGGACTTTGTCCACGAGTCAGAGAAATGGAAAAAATCCAAAAGTACCACTGTTTAGAAAAAAATTTCCAAAAATACCACCCAACCCCAAAAAATTCCAAAAATACCACCCTTTTTCAAAAACCGCCACCCCACCCAGCGGTTTGGTCGAAAACCGCTTGTCGGGGGCGCGGTTTTGGACCAAACCGCGGGCCTAGGGGGCGGTTATAAAAAAAAAAAAAAATTGGACCAAAACCGCTGGGTGGGGTGGCGGTTTGGCCCAAAACCGCCACCCCAACCAGCGGTTTGGTCCAAAAATTCGGTCGAAACTTCAAACGAACGTAACTTTGCACTCGGGTATCCGATCGTAGCGATTCTTTTTTTTATTTCGCATAACTTTTCAAGATCTACAACTTTTACTAGGATGAAATTTTCAAAACAGGAACTATTTGTGGATATACGGGACCTTGAGAATAACTTTACCTTTACTTTTCAGAAATCCATGTACATTTTGAAATTATGATTATATTAAAAGTTGTAGATCTTGAAAAGTTATGCGGAATCAAAAAAAAGTTCATAACATTCGGAGTTTGGAGCACAAAGTTATGGCCGCCCAAAGTTTGACGAAAGGCGAGACCCGGCGGTTTGCGGCTTGCAAGATCTCAAAAAGTTTGCGGCCTCCATTTTTTGAATCCGAATCACTTTTTGAGATCTTGCAAGTCTCAAACAGTCGGGTTCCGTCTTCGTCTCGAAAAAACGTCATTTGCCACCCCGAACGGCATTTTTTTTTATTTCGTCAAACTTTGGGCGGCCACAACTTTGTGCTCCAAAATCCGAATGTCATGAATTTTTTTTTTATTCCGCATAACTTTTCAAGATCTACAACTTTTAATATAATCATAATTTCAAAATGCACATGGATTTCTGAAAAGTAAAGGTAAAGTTATTCTCAAGGTCCCGTATATCCACAAATAGTTCCTTTTTTGAAAATTTCATCCTAGTAAAAGTTGTAGATCTTGAAAAGTTATGCGAAATGAAAAAAAGAATCGCTACGATCGGATACCCGAGTGCAAAGTTACGTTCGTTTGAAGTTTCGACCGAATTTTTGGACCAAACCGCTGGTTGGGGTGGCGGTTTTGGGCCAAACCGCCACCCCACCCAGCGGTTTTGGTCCAAAATTTTTTTTTTTTTATAACCGCCCCCTAGGCCCGCGGTTTGGTCCAAAACCGCGCCCCCGACAAGCGGTTTTCGACCAAACCGCTGGGTGGAGTGGCGGTTTTTGAAAAAGGGTGGTATTTTTGGAATTTTTTGGGATTGAGTGGTATTTTTGGAATTTTTTTTTTAAACAGTGGTACTTTTGGATTTTTTCCCAGAGAAATGGCCAATATATGTTTTATACTATATTTTCAATCCCAATTGTTTCGAACTTGCTCTTTTTTTGGAATGGAATATTTATGGAATCCCCATAACCCATAAATAGGGTCAAAATCTTACAAAACTATGTCCCACTTTGAATTCTGGAATTTTAATGGTAGTTCTTGGCGTTCTTCCCATGTTTTTCATCAAAAATTTTACAGGTCTAATGATTGATCCACAAAAATGAGAAAGAGAAGGCAAAACATGTTTGTTCGCAGAACGACGTATTGGATGTCGTTCTATTTATTTGCCAGGCCCATATAAATGTTGGGCTAACGAATATAAATTTTGACAAATTTGATTTTGAAATAGAGTCGGAGACCCAAAATTACAAAACACGATTCTTCTAATATACTATTTGAACACCTAATTAGAAAAGATAATGCTCATGAGATGAGGACATGCAAATTGTGTAATCATTTCTTCACGATATTGTTATGGAAACGGAGTCATACACTTTTTTATAACAATAAAATACAATTTATTTTATTTCCTTCAGATAAACTCAAGTATAATTCCAATCCCAATGCGGAGCGCGGGCAAGGATACTAGCGGGAAATATAACTATGCAAATTGCTTCACCTCATTCGCTCTTACTTTTTAATTACATGTAATTGATGTTTACATAAATAATTATATATAACTATGCAAATTGCTATTATCATTTGCCCACAGTTCCCGTTCTCACCTCATACGCTCTTACTTTTTGCCCTTTTTATTGTGTACATTTTTTAAGTAAAGAAGGAGAAAATTGAGGAATCAGTTACCAATTTTTTTATGAAATGTTGTTATTTTTTAGAGGGTTTGAATTTTAGAATGGGAAATCGGGATTTATTGTGTTTCACAAACAGTCTCTATTTTTTAGAGAGTTTGAAAGGGGGAAAACGACAATTACTGTATTTCTAGGTGTGTTGACGTGGAAGCGTAGATTTAGTCTAAGGCTGATGTGGCAGGGGTGCAAATCTCAAACCCTTTTAATAAATTTATAAATTAATAGATAGATAGATAGAAGATAGATAGATAGATAGATAGATAGATAGATATATAGATAGATAGATATAAATAATGAGCCCTCTTTTATGATATAAGTAGATATATGAATTGGGCCCAGTATTCTCATATTTAGCCCGAATAAGAAATGGCTTTATGCTTATATTAAATTTCTATAGTTTTTTGGAAGCCCATTTTATAATGGTTCGGTCCATTGGGGGAACAATTTATGGCCCACTGAATCTCCAATATTCGATTTTATAATGGTAGTAAGAAATCGTTTTGGGGACCAACTTCCACCGCATTTTCATTCCAGTTCTAATTCTGCCTTTTCAACTTCCCCTGTTCTCTGAACTCCTTTTCCCAGAAGCTACAGTACTTCGCAACTTCCAGATCAAAGATAGTTGTATATTCATGGGGTATGATCGCCGATAGTTTTTCCTTTTGCATTCTGTCTCTGTTTCTTTACACTTGAACCAATTTTTGATCTTCTATTGTCTTTCTATATCAGCCATCGTTGTATAATGCCTCGTGATTTCAAACTTCCAACTCTTCCACGAGGTATCGAGTCTGTTGCTTTCTGTTTCAAGTTTCTATTTATTGGTTTATGAATGAACACTGCCGAAGTGTTAAGTTTTTTAGTTTTTCTTTGTCTTTTGTTTATTACAGACCCAATTTCCACATGCATGGTGTTTCGTGGCCTCCGTGTTGGTGCTTATACTGATATTATGATCATCCGAGTTCTTAATGTATGGATTGAGTATAGTGATGACTCTCAAGGGCATAGAAGAACAATGCATGTGCTGTGTCTTGACAAAGAGGTTTGTCATTCGTCTATATAATGTAATATTTATTGTTTATGTTTGATTGTGGTAATGCACTAAATCACTAAATCACATTTAACAGGAACATATGCTAGAGGCCTGTATTGAGGAAGATGACATTCAAGAAATGCACCATAAGTTGAAAGTATGCGATTTACATGTTCTGGATGGCTTTCATGTTATTCCTGCGAGGGAAAACAGGCGTGTTGTTCCCGCTGAAGTTCGCTTTGCCTTAAGGAGTGAACAGATCATATTTTGCGTGCCTGACAATCCGAGTTATCCCAAGTTTCCTGTCAATGCTTTTCTGAAAACTTCGTTCTCGACTGTTCCAATAGAGGCAGAAACAGTTGTGAATTATGGAGGTATTTTCCTCATAAGTAGTTTTCACAAAAATTGTTCATGATTATTTGCTTACTATGAATTTAATTGCAGATGTTACAAGTTAAATTGTTCATCTAACAATTCCAGAGGTTTCAAGTAATGCTGTTTTTAGGTTTGAGCTCATCATACAAGATTGCAGGTTTCTTGCGTATTCTTGTGTTGACTTTTGTTTGTTAGACTTTTATGTGGGATTAACTGATCTTTTTTTATTTTATATAGAGGGGACAGGGCGACAGTGTACTACTCTGGATCTGGGGTTACAAAGTATTTGGAGTTTGCAGGGGAATCTGAATCTCGGCTTCCTCTCATTATCACAATTACTGCTGTTACAAGGTTGTCAGCTATAGATAGCACTGGAGATGCATATGTATTTCAATCTTCACCTGGGAGTCGTCTGATCATTGCTTCTTACAATCACCATTATGAAAAAATAATAAATAGGTATTATTATATTTGAATTCTATGTTTATATATTGACAAACCTACTCTGTTGGATGTTAGAAAAACAATACATACATTCTTTTTGTTGTTTAGGTTCATAGGTGATCGGATGCCAGTGACTTACATCAATAGTACTTCTCGCTGCTCTATTGGTTATCTTCGTGGTCTTCTTCCTCCCAAAAGAACACTCATGCAGCTAAAGGATGATATAATGTTCCATTCACAGGCCTACCAGGTATATGTATAATATTGTATGTTCTAATTGTATTGGATAACACATATCCCAAATATATAGTCATATCTTTAACCTATTATAACAAAAATTCCTTCCTTCAGACTCTCTATCGTTGTATGCTGGAAATGACAAGATTTACGTACGGTCCAGAAGTCTTTAAATCAAGTTCAGGTTTTCCAAGGTATGAGTCAATTTTATGTTTTGCTAATAATCTGTTGTCCATTGCATTTAAGGAAAATCAAAATGTTCCTTTCATTGTTTAATTCAGGGTACGATATGAATTACATGCAACATGTGAGTGTGAGGGCAAATATGTTGATGTTATCTTTGATCATGAAGCTGTGTTGGGCTTGGTTTGTGTTTCACCTGAGGAACTTTTCAGTTTAATCTATGAAGAAGGATATGAGTGCATTGAAGACAGGTGTTATGTGCCATTTGTGGCAGAAGCTTTTATTGCTCCTGGGAGTTCAGAAAATCCTCCTACTATCCGAATTGCTTCAATCTGGAACCCTAATGCCTTCGCGTGATTAAAAACTGTTCTACTTGGAACTTAGTTTGTCAGGACGCCTTATTTATAATTATGTATGTTATCTATTCAGGACATGTTTCTCTGTTTTCTGTAAAAAAACTGTTTGTTTTTTCCTAGCTACTCTGGTATTTTGATGTTTCTTATATATATATATTAGTGCCTATTCTGATATTTTGCTATATGTTTTTATTATTTTAGTTTTTTTTGTAGCAATAGCGTATTTCTAGCAGTTTGATATATATGCATTGAATTGCCGAAACAAAAATATCTATCATATACTTTAATCTGGCTAGGTTCACGAGTTGGAGATATTTCTAGCACTTTGATTTATATACATTGAATTGCTGTATCAAAAATGTCTATCGTATAGCTTTAATCCGGTTAGGTTCACGAGTTGGAGATAAGCGGACTCGAACCACTAACTTCCGCCACAAGGCAAACGATTCCCTCTCGGCCTCTCTAACTGATTCTACCATAAAGGACCATGAGGAAACTCTTTCGATAATCAGCATGCCCCCCAACAAATACAACAAACTCGATTCGGAATCGGCAAATGCATTGTTGATCAAAAAGTGTAACAGAATGTTTGTAGGCAAGCTGTATATCGCTTCCTCAGATATGAAGAACTGAATTTCATCAGCAGTACCTCACATAAGAGTTGCAACACTTTGGCATACCTCAAGAATGGACAAGTGATCATCGATATCAATGACGAAAAGACTTTCTGGTGCATCCTATCCACTTCTATTTTCCTAGACTAGGTTTCTATTCTCCCGCTTTAGTAGAATGAAAACAATGTCCAAATTTGATTTTATGGTTTGCGACAACTTTTGGACTTGACAAGGTTATTATGCACTGCCTTATGTTTCCTTGCATTGACAGACTTTATTAAGCAACAATGATGCTCAGGGTGATGTTTCATAATCCATAAAACTTCATAGGTCAAACTTATCCCGCCGCGGAGCGCGGACTGATTACTAGTTTATATAAAATTACATATATAAAGAAAAAAATTCATATAACATACAATATTTTAGTGATTGGAAAGTATATTGATATCCATAGAATTCAGGACATTTTTTCATATTACAACTTTTGTTCTATTATAAAAATATGTCATGAAACTTAATCATTCTCTTTTTTTGTTAGTGTCACCAATTCACCATCTTTTTGTTAATGCACTTAGGATTGAACTTTATCACATACTCCCCCCTCCAAAAGCTCAACATGGCCCCATTATGCAATTCTGGTTCTGGATATACATATTTTCCCCCAATCTGGACCCACCTCAAAGAACAAACCAAAGAAGCAGGGGATGCCACGTGGCCCCCAAACTCCTTCCATTTCATATGCCAAACCAAAAGAGAAATTGTTAAATTAAATCCCAAGGAGAATTGGTGGGCAACTCAGGGGAAGGAGGAAAAGCATAAGAACAGAGGAGCTTCATGAACAAAAGAAAACAACACAGTTCCCACTATAAATACAAACTATCACACTCCCACTTATCCACAAAGAACTCACTTCCTGACTCCTCCCCATACTTTGTCTAAACCCAACTTGCCAGTTTTCCAGTTTCTTCTTTATCCATTGCTCTGACATGGCTGAATTTGCAGCAGAGGTTTTACAGAGCTTCAGACCTCCATTCCCACTCCTGGAGCTCGATCCCAACACCGCCATGGAACAACAAATCCCTCCATTCACAGACCTCAACCATTTCAACAACGACGGTTCATCCAATTTGCTCCATAACTTCCACAGCTTCAACAACAACAGCCCAATTCCCACAAATCAAGGGCAAGGCTTCTTCACTCCCCATCAAATGCTAGCATTAACCATGCCCGAAAATTACCCCGACGCCTTCCACCAGCAGCATCAGAACTACATGAACGTTGTGGATGGCAATGGCGGCCCGTCGTCTTCATCGTCAGTTCCTTTCCACCAACATCATCAATTTCCAGAAAGCAGGAAGAGGAAAATGGCCCCTGCTGCGGATCATTTACATTTGATCTCGGCCGAAAGCAGCTCCATGAACATCCTGTCCCCCCAGGCGTCCGAGAGTGGCAACAAGAGGAAAAATGTACTGTTACATATAAACTTTTTTTATGTCAAGAAACTGTAAAGAAATGTTCTTTTTGGTGTTTGGCTGATGGGTTGTTTTGCATTTGATACAATAGGGTTCGAGGAGAGGAGGAGGGAAGAGAGTGAGAAGCAAGGAAGAGGCAGGGGAGGGCTGTGGTGGAAATGAGAAGTTACACAAGGAAGTGGTTCATGTCAGAGCAAGAAGAGGCCAAGCTACTGACAGCCACAGTCTAGCTGAAAGGGTAATTACTTACTAATTCATCTGTACTGTAATGATGATGATAATTAAGACGTAGGTAAAACACTACTTAAGATGGTTAATTTGGTTATGTACATGGAAAAACAGGTGAGAAGAGGGAAGATTAATGAGAGACTGAGATGCCTGCAGAACATTGTTCCTGGCTGCTACAAGGTAATTATTATTATTATTCAGAATACAACTCGTGGGAGTTAAGAATTGGTTTAGTAATTAAATTTTTTTTTTTTTTTTTTTTTTTGGTTAACAACAGACCATGGGAATGGCAGTGATGCTGGACGAGATAATCAACTACGTCCAATCACTACAGAATCAAGTGGAAGTGAGTTCCTTGATTCATTCATTGTACCAGCTTAATTGATGATTATTAGCATGATTTGGTGGGTCTTTGGAGATTAATTAGGTAATTAATTAATCAAATTGTTTATTGTGAAAATCAGTTCCTGTCGATGAAGCTCACAGCAGCAAGCACATTCTATGACTTCAATGCAGAGACAGAAGCTGTAGAGACACTGCAGGTATGTGACCATATACGCCAAAACACACATCTGACACTAGAGTTCTAATAATAATAATTATTATTATTTTGTATTTTTGTGGCAATATTCTCTTAATTTTTTATTAATATGTTAATGAATGGTATATATATATAAAATATGTAGAGGGCAAAGTTGCGAGAGGCAAAGGAAGAAGGGAGAGTGATGAAAGAAGGATATGATGGAGGATTTTCATGTTTCCACTCAACGTGGTCTCTTTGACTTCACTTTTGGATCCTATCGTTTCCCAATTTGCCATACTGCACCAAAGAAACTCAAATATATATAGTGATATTTTGCTTCAAATATGTGAACTCTCATCTCATGTATCCTCTATACTAGATATCCAACAATATGTATGAAACAATTGGAATGAAAAAAAAAAAAACACATATTTATAATATGATATAGTATAATTGTAAAATTACTCTAAATGATTGACATGTGTGGGGAATTCAGTTGTAAGTCAAGTAAAATGTACACCGATTTGTAACGAAGTTATGTTAGTTTTAAACTCGGAGTGATAATCGATGTCAGTGATCATAATGGAGTTTGGATAGAGATTTCTTCAAGCCTATGCTTTTTCGCGTGGTATTGGAGTTATGAAAGATTATAGGCGATCTTAATTAACTATGAGTACCGTCGGAGGTATGAGAAGGTGGCGCAATCGGCAAGCATGAAGCCAACCAGTTGTGACCTGATTTTCTCGATGAGGGGGACACCCCTTATCAAGTCTAATCAAGTCTTCATTGGAAAGCTGCTCATCGGTGAATCCAATTATGTATATTGGGTACACACAGCATGACAAATTTGCTTCTCGTAAAGAACTAGTTAGGATTCGTCGATGGATCTATTAAGGATCCGACTCATCCTACGAAAGTTATAGTGGCTCCACGGAGGTGCTGTCGTTAAGGGTTGGTTGATGTTTGTAATGGACAAGGGTGTCACGTAAGACATGCAAAAACTTCTTTCTAAGTCTGAACCAATCTCTAAGAACTATTTGTTTCAATGCACTGCAAAACATATACTGAAATTTGGCACTCATATGTGGTTCTTCTCGTTCACTGTAAATTACCTTTCTCTCATTGTTTTACTAAAGCGATCCCATTTTTGTATAATATTACGTTATTGTTTCCTTATATTACGGGAGAGTCGGTGTGGATCTATTAGAGGGATGAACCGTGTTGGTAATTTCTGATCTGATTCGCGCGACTCAACTTGCCCTGACATGTTTGAGGCGGTTATTACCTGACCGGCCCAGCCCCGTTATCGACCCATACTATCATGTTTTCCTTGAATCTAAAGGTATTTCTCCTCTTTCGACCTTTCCAAAATCATATTTTCATCTCGAAGAAATTTTAAGACTCTTATCTGTCAACTATTTAGACTCAATTATTCCTTCTATAGTATTCCTCGTCATTTATGAAGTATTTTCTCTATGTGTTCTCGTAAACTATCTAGTTAAATATCAACGCTCTATTTTCAAATAACATATAAGAATTGATCGACTCATTCCTTACCGTACACGCACGAATATAGATATTGAAATACCCGCACCATTGCCATCACTAGAGCCCATCTTATATTTTTTGTTGGATTGTAACAATCATACATACGATGTTGGACTTGATCAATGATAAGGGAGATCGATCTTAGTAATCAACTAATGGAATAGTAACTTAGACCTCTACCTAATCTCCCATTATATCCTTATTACTTCCCCATAATATCTTAATAATGAACAATTATTTCTCGTGGGATTTGCAACACAGTGGCATCTCCTAATGACATTTGTGAAGGATACCATATCTTGTTGTTTGGTTGGATATGAACTTTAATGACCAAATCTGCCCCTTACCTCCTTCAAATAGAAATTGGGCTGGAAAAAGATAAACAAATAAAACTAAATTGAGAAGCCCCACAAATTATATATGTGGGTACTTACAAGAATTTTTATAGATGCAGCCAATCCAGTAAGTGACTGATTGGAGTGGGTATTTAGTATTTATTCATTTACTTATATTTTCCCCCCTTTTCCGTTACTAAAAAGGGTTGATCTTCTTTTCCTTTTGTTGGCTTGTTAAGTTGGGACATATGGGAAGAAGGAAGGTAGAGGGAAAATTGGTGGGCAAAATTAGATGCATTGCATCCAACAAGAGGAAGTGAGAAATCAATTAAAAGCAAAGACAAGAAGGAAAGGACAGATGAAAATGGGCCCATGGCTTGCCCCAAAAATACTGAATGGGTTATGTGGGCTCTCCAATATTTCTCACCAAAATAGAAAACAGAGATAAGGACCAAGTAAGGATATTTTTTTATCAATCAATATTTTTTTTTATAGATTGTAATAAATTATCATTACATTACCATTCTCATGGAGATTGGTTTCGTGTAATTATGAAATTTGGGTGATAGTTTTGCCACATAACGAAATGGACCAATAAGAATAATGTCGTTTGAGAGTTCGAGATATAGGACCGAGTCTTGAATTATTGTTTGACTAGAGGTAGCTTCAAGAGACCTTATTATTTTAACCTACCTCTCTCCCACATCATGAATCTATGACCTCGATCGACTGGCCTTCCTTGTGGTTAGACGAATTGGTTAACTATTGAGCTATCAAGCCTAGATGAAGAGCTGACTTTCGTTACTGCCACAAGAGAGCTAATAGTAAGAGCAAAATTCACTAACACAAGAGAGCTAATGTTATGGGGATTTAATTGAATCGCTATTGTTTGTTGGAGTATAAAATCGGAACATGGTGTGGCCCATGGATTAAATTTTTTTTTTATTTCCATATTTGTGGACTCTAAGAACTTGCAAATACAACAATTTATTAGAGATTTAATTGAGAAAAAATAAATTTGTAAGACCCATGATGCAACAAAGTATTAATTCATAACCAAAAATCAACTAAATAAACAATGAAGTCTTTCAAATCTATACTGCAACAAATCTTTCATAAATTAATAGATTTTCAAAACTCAAAATCCTCATTTGTAAATCCTACAAAACCCTTCAATTCTCAGGGGATCAATCCTGATGCGACCCCGCTCACCCCGCATGACGTCACTCGAGCTCAAACTAGATATCTACATGGACCATGGTTCAAGAGACGATTTAAGAGGTTTAAAGAGAGTTTGAAAGCATTCAAGGTGGAAGAAAAGGTCTTTGCAAGCAAGGCCTACGAGTTTGTTGATGTGAAATCAATTGGCAGAATATATAATTCTCGTGGTTCAAAGATGAAGGTCCGAGTACGACGATACAAGGATCAAATGGGATCATTCTTGATGGATGTGGACTTGCTAGAAGGAAAGTCCATCACGTTGCTCGATTTATGGACTAGAATGAAAAGAAGATGGGCTTGGTAGAAGGAAGGAAGATCTCCCATGGTGTGAACACAAGGTGTGAAAGGAATACAAGTGTGAAAGGAATATCAGGTGTGAACACAAGCCATGTGAGGGAGGATTGCAAGGCTAGAATCTAGGGAGTTGTTGACCAAGTCTTTTCCTTATCTTTTAAGGATTGTGTTTTTTCCTTTTACTTGTAGGATTTGTTTTTCATTTTAAGCTTTGGATTTGTGTTAGCTAGTCTATAAATAAGAGGCTGAGTTCCTCATTGTAATTCATTCTATTATCAATCAACTTTCAAGTTTCATGTTCAAACGAACTGGTTCTTTGTGCAAGCTTCTGTCGAGAGTGCTCCAGAGGTTTCACGTGTCTCTTATCAACTAGAGAACGCGTCTAGTTGTGGCGAGCTTCTACCCTATATCAATTGCCCCTTTCCACGAGTTGGTGCTGTCCGATTGGTTCCATATACCAATTGCCCTTCATCACGGTTGGGATTGTCCGATTGATTCCGCATTATCTTTTATTTTTCGAGTTCAAGAAAGGAGACATTAGAAAATCATAAAAAGATCGTTGAAGCTGCGTACTTTGGTCATATAATCTGAGTTCGAGGGTTCTCTTCGGATTTGGATCATATCAAGTGGTATCAGAGCCCGGTTCAAACTCAGTGGCGATTTGAAGATTACCGGTTCAAGCTCAGCGACAAAAAAAAAAAAAAGGAGAATGGAGCAAAATCAACGAACGATGGAGATGATGAAGCAAATGCTCAAGACGACAGAAGTTATTCTTCAAGGATTAAAGGGGAATAATGCGCCAGCAACAATAATCCAACCTGAAGCTCATTTGACGATAGGGAGTCCAAATCCAAAGCAAGATCTCGAGCAAAGGGAGAATAAATTTCAAACGAGATGCTTAGTGGATGGTAAGCTACTATCGGTTGTGATTGATGGAGAGAGTTGCACTAATCTGGTGAGTGAATATTCGGTGAAGAAATTGGGGTTAAACACATTGAAACATCCAAAACCCTACACTCTTCAATGGCTTAATCAAGATGGATCAATTGAGGTCACCAAGCAAGCCATATTGAAGTTTGAGATTGGAAGATATAAAGATGAAGTCCTTTGTGATGTGGTGCCAATGGAAGAGGCTCATGTTTTGCTTGGAAGACCATGGCAGTTTGATCGAAATGGACAACAAGATAGAGTCACCAAGAAGTACAAGTTGTTGCATAGAGGTCTGAAGTTTGTATTGAAGCCATTATCTCCCAAAGAAATCTATGAGGATCAACTTCAAATGCAACAGAATTTGAAGAAGGAGAAAGAGTTTCAAGCAAGAGTAGAAGAGGAAGTCAAAGAAGACATGGAAGAGAAAGAAGAAGTTCTTGTTGATGGGCTTACTATAGTCACTTGTGAAGAGGATTCACAAGCTTTGATTTCATCTCAAGAAGAACAAGAACTTAAAATAGAAGATGAAGAGAAGGTGTTGCCTATCACCAACATGATAATGGACTTTGATCATGATGAGATAAATTTAAAGGAGGGTCCAAAACAGTCACTTATTAAAGAAGCTACAGATCATGTTGAGTTGACCATTGAAGATGGAATTCTACCCAAGGATGTCTGTGACAATGAAGATATGGAGACAAAGGAGAATGATCTACAAGTTGAAGAAAGAGAAGTTCCAAAAGAGTCATTATCATCATCTATTGGAGTAGATTTGGTTATTGGAGATGTCATCCTATATCCTCAAAATTCGTCCATAGGCATCTTCAATACACCAAGTACAACCACAACGCCAAATTCTGATTCTAAGCATGGTCCAAGCTCTTCTCAATACAAGTCTATTCAGATGGGAGATTATAGTGTCAATGTTGAGCATATGGAGTTCGTTATTGGAGATGAAGTTCCATACAATGAAGTACATATTAGAGAGAGACGAAGACTGCAAGAGTTCGTGGATAAGCTTAGCATTCAAGGAGCATACTCTAGCTCGTGGTTAATGAAGTCGTACAAGAGAGCCTAC